TAGATGAGGGTGAGGGTTAAGGTTAGGGTTAGGAGGTGAAAGTGAGGGTGAGGGTTAGGGTTATGTGAGGGTGAGTGTGGGGGTGATGGTGAGGTTGAGGGTTAGGGTTAGGGTTAGTGTAGGGGTGATGCTGAGGGTGAGGGTTAGGGTGGGGGTGGGGATGATGCTGAGGGTTAGGGTTAGGGTTAGGGTGGGGATGATGCTGAGGGTGAGGGTTAGGGTGGGGGTGGGGGTGAGTTTGAGGTTGAGGTTGAGGGTTAGGTTTAGGTTTAGGGTTAGGGGATGGTGAAGGTGAGGTTTAGGGTTAGGGTTAGGGTGATGGTTACAATGAGGGTGAGGTGATTGTGAGGGGTTATCGTAACTATTATATCGCTAATTACATAGAAATTGCACACACTGTACACTCATATTTTCGAGTCGTAGAATACCCCGTCCAATAAATACTATATATAATCTCTTTATTTACTTGTCACATACGCGTACAGGATTGTTGGCGGATACGATACCATCGTGTTCGGTCCGACAACCTTTTCGTACTTGTATGTGACAGAGGGCTTATATATAAATATTTATTAGATCTGTCCAGTGTGGACGGGTTAGGTATGTAAACATGGCGTGCATATGTATTTACGTGTGTTCTTGTGTACTTTCTTTTCGTCAGAGTTTCGGCGGCGCTTACTCGTTGTTCTCCGTGTACTATAGTGTACTCGGAGAACAGCGGGTAGGTGCTGCCAAAATTTTAACGAAATAAAAGTACACTTGAACACACGTAAATACATATACACGCTACGTTTACATACCTAATGGGATAGAAGCCTTCCTCTGACAGCCGGTCACACACACTTGTCCTATAACTTAAAATGATATATGTAGGGATATGCTCACTTCCATTAAATTTTATATTCTAGATGCGGATAATTCCTGACAAATCGTTCATGGGCATACCACATGATCGAAGGCATCTAGACACTCGATACAAGGATGGGATAGAAGCTTTCTTACCCTACTCTGACACCAACCCTCTACGGTCACTCAGCGGGTTGATTTTTTGCCCTTGCAAGAATTGTAGGAATGATAAAATGTTCACTAGGAGTGACGTAAGTTTCCATCTGTCAATTAATGGATTTGATAGCTCTTATGTATTTTGGAGTCATCACGGTGAAGGCGTCCCGATGATGCAATTAGAGGAAGAGTTTACTGATGTCGACAATCCGACAATTGACACAACTGATATGTTGGAAGATATTCTTACCGTGCCATCTTCGAGTGATGTTAACACTACTGATATGTTTCAAGATGTAGCCCGATTGATGAGACTTGTTGAAGAAAATGAGTCACAGTTATACGAGGGGTGCACCGAGTTCACAAGGCTTTCTTTTATGCTGAGGCTTCTTCATATCCAAACACTCAGTGGGATGGCTGTTACACATTTCGAGATGTTATTAGACTTGCTCAGGAAAGTTATTCCAGGTGGCGAGAAGAGCATCCCCGCAACTTATTATGAAGCTCACAAGATTGTTGATACGCTAGGGCTTGATTACAAGAAGATAGACGCCTGTCCTAATGACTGCATCTTGTACAATAAGGGTAATGAAGGTCTAGAGGAATGTCTGACGTGTCATGTATCACGCTGGAAAGAACATACGAGCACATCTGAAGGCATATCATCCAATAAGCAGAGCAGAATCCCTGTGAAGGTTCTCCGATATTTTCCAATTATTCCTAGGCTGCAGAGGTTTTATATGTCTGCCGAGCTGGCTGAGAATATGCAATGGCATTCGACCGACCACAAAGAGGATGGGAAATTGAGACATCCTGCTGATAGTGAGGCATGGAAGTACATCGATTGTATATACCCTGACTTAGGTAAGGAGTCTCGGAATATTTGGCTAGGGCTTGCTAGCGACGGATTTAATCCATTTGGAGTAATGAGCTCTGCTTAGTCTACCTGGCTAGTGTTGCTGACACCGTACAACCTGCCGTCGTCGATGTGCATGAAGCAGCCGTACATGATACTGTCATTCTTGATCCCTGGAAGATATTCTCCTGGAAATGACATTGATGTTTTCCTCCAACCATTAATTGACGAATTGAAGCTTCTCTGGGATGAAGGCGTCAGCACTTATGATGCTTATGGTAAGGAGGCTTTCCGTATGCGTGTAATGGTCATGTGGACAATTAATGACTTTCCAGCATATGCTAACTTGTCTGGATGGTCGACGAAGGGTCAGATTGCTTGTCCGGTTTGCATGTCAGATTATGAGGGAAAGTTCTTGAAATACAGCCGTAAGTTCTATTATTAGCAACACAGAAGATGGTTACCTACAGGGCACAAGTTCAGAAAGTTAGTAGGAAAGTTCGACGGCAATCTAGAAAACAGACCGGCACCACCAAGGCTGACCGGGGAAGAAATATTTGAGCTTCTACATCCTCTACCTAAAAAAATATTTGGAAAGAAAAAATTCAACAAAGAAAATCCATTTGGGGTTAGGAGAAAAATATTGAAGCAAAATTGAAAGGGAAAGGGAAAGGGTAAGCAATTTCTCAAAGGCAATTCGAAAGGAAATAAACCTCGCACTGTCCAATCGCATGGGCGTGTCTCTAAGGGTACTGAACTTCCGCATGGATGGTCAAAATTTAGTATATTTTATCAATTGCCATATTGGAGAAATTTAAAAATACGTCACAACTTGGATGTCATGCACATCGAGAAGAACATATGCGAGAATCTCTTGAACACTTTGTTGCAGGACGGGAAAAAAATCAAAAGATGACTTAAGGGCACGTCGAGACCTAGCAGAATTGAACATCTGTCCCGAACTGCAAGCTATAGATAAGGGTGATGAAAAGTTTGAACTCCCAGCCTCCCGTGCCATACTGTCGAAGGATGAGGTCTACAATATGTGTTTATTTCTAAAGTCCGTGAAGACACCGGATGGTTATGCTTCAAACATTTCAGCAAATGTGCATATTGAGGACAGGAAAATTTTGGGACTCAAGACACATGACCATCATATTCTATTGCATCAACTTCTCCCGGTTGCGTTGCGACATGCTGAGAAGGAACTCGTGATAGTGGTAATAGAATATTGCAGTTTCTTCAAGCAGTTGTGCTCCAAGGTGATTGATGTCAGGGATTTTGAAGAATTAGAGGGACGTGTAGCCAATACACTGTGTAAAATGGAAATTCTATTTCCACCTTCGTTCTTTACGGTCATGGTGCATCTCACAATACGTTTAGCATATGAAGCCCGCATCGCAGGACCAGTTCAATATTGCTGGATGTACCCTGTAGAGAGGTATTTTTTATTATAATGCTTAATTAATATTTGTTAAATTAAGTTACTCAGTTTTATTTTGTCACAAATCATGAAACTATATGCTTGTAGGTATTTGGGTTTCATGAAACATATGATGCATAATCATGCACGTCCTGAAGGATCGATAGCAGAGAACTATATAAGTAATGAGAGTTTGAATTTCATCTCTCGTTACTTGCAGGGTGTGGAGACAAGGCTTAACCGTCCCCAACGAATAATTGACGGAACATTCTATAATGATCGTGGGGAGGACACTAGATTCCCCAGAATGGAGCTAGATCAAGCCCACACATATATCTTGAGCAATGATACTACATTTAACATATACGCGGCGTAAGTATTTAACTGTTTGAATCAGATCATATCACATCACAATAACTATCTCTATTTAACTGTTATAAATGATTTTATTCTAGGCTTCACATCCGATATGTCCAGACTATTCTTAAATGCAGAACAAAAAATAAAAGAGTTATGGACACACACTCTAGACAATTCCCTACATGGCTGAAGGGTGAAGTAAGATTTATTTACATTTTTGATTCGTATATCAAATATGTGCTTGCCAACAGATATTTAAACTATTTGTTTCTTTTCTTAAAGGTTGACCGACGGATTATGAATGGGGTTAACCTGTCTGAAAAAATATGTTTATATGCCAGAGGTCCTTCTAACATGGTTAAGCGTTATGGAGGCTACTGTATCAACGGCTTTAGGTTTAACACCATCGGTTTTGAAGAGAGACGACAAACGCAAAATAGCGGTATGTTCTGCTCCCTCTCGCAACTGTCATACGCTAGTTCAAAAGATCTAAATCCGATACAAGGTGAAATCTATTGCTATGGTCAAGTAGAAGACATTGTGGAGATTTTCTATGGGATTAATAATGAAGTCAGACATGTGATGTTTAAGGTTCGTTGGAGTGAGCTGAAAAAGGCGAAGGATGACTACGGTTACACACTCGTTAATCTTAACAAGGAAATATATCAGACTGAAAAGTACATGTTAGCTGCTCACGCAAAACAGTGCTTTTATGTCAAAGATATAATGAAAAATGACGAATAGGTTGTCCTTAAGAATCCGCCTAGATCCTACATTCATGAAGCCGTGTCTGACGAAGACCACGAAGAGGTTATCTTAGCCGACGAAACAGTTGCTGAGTTTTCCTTAACACAAAATAATAATCTGGTGGATGAAATTGCACTGGCGCGCCCTGATGTACCTGTGATTATATGTGAGCCAAGGCGTAAAGTCAAAAAATGAGTCCACAGTAGAGTCGATAAAAAATATAAGGACAATCCTTTTGTCGGCACGCACACGGTCATAGGCTAACCGCACACGGTCGCAGAGTAGAGCCTCAACATCATAATAATAATATAATACTTGGTTATATTTAAAGACATTCATGTATCTGTTTGATGGTTAGAAACATGTATCAGTCTTTGTGTTATGTATTAAGTATTGCTTTATTTTATCTGTTTGACTGTATCATGTATCAGTTTGTGTCATGTATTATAGTATTGCCTTTATATTATCTGTTGACTGGTTACATGTATCAGTTGTGTCATGTTTATAGTTTTGTTTGGGTACTCATTATGTTTTCAATAGTATAGATGACAAAGGATTACGCTAGAGAGGCGCGTTGAGAGATCTTTTTAGTAGACTTCGAAGCAAGCGCACATGGCTTTACGTCAGGTATTTTTATTTATTATGTATGATCTGTACATTTTTATAAACTATTAATATGAGCCTAACATTATTTTTTAACATTTCCTACGCAGGACGCATCACTGCTACACATGACTCGCGCGCCACAGGACACAGGACGAGGAGATTGCTCCGCACCTATGCGGAGACACTCGCTTGATCCTACCCGACATGCGGAGATGCCGCCGTCGCTCTCCGCATGCCAGATGTATTTGAGAAGAGCGGCGATAAGAGCATATAGCGTAGCTGTAGAGCTGCGCCACTACCGCCGGGTTCTATTACAGGTCAGCGAGGCCCCGACCGGCCAAGGTGAAGGGCGGATTGGATACTTATCATGCTTGCCGACCTATTGCAACAACATAGGTATGAACAAGCAAGGCCGTGATGCGTCGAATTGAAAGGTGTGTATAGATTTTTATAGTTTATCTGTTTAATATTTTAATTTGTATTATCGATATTGATTGATTAATATTTCGCCTGAATTTTCATGTTTTTCGTATTGTCAAGCACTACAGGCCCACGGCCGCGGGTGTACCAAGACACAGAACCTGCATTCCCGATATTATTGAGGGCTGTGATTCCGATGGGACGGGCGTGCCTGTCGGGCCATTTTGCTAACGCTTTCAACAATTTCCTCGCCGCTTTAGCAGGAGACATAATTTCTTCAACATATTTTTAACGTGAGAAGTCGCCAAAGCGGATTGATGCGCTGGTGGCTTGTTGGAGTATATATACAGCTGTTAATACATTTATTTTAATTCTCTAATTATTAGTCATTTTATCTATTTTGTTTAAACACCACTGATTTGTATCTCTTTTTTCATTGTACTGCTGTAAAGCGATTTTTTCTTCTTTGACGATTACGCTTGTGCCTAGACTTACTGCTTCACGCAAATCAATCTATCGTTCAAGAGGTGGCGGTTTGTGCTGAAGAAAAAATATTTTATTCAAAGAACAGAAGATTAGGAGCGTTACTAGCATCTTGACGAGCGCGTAGATGGAGTAGATTTTTTTGCACTTTGCGATTATTAGGACACGGCCGAAATTTAGGTATTATTGAAGTATATATTTTTGTTTATTGTTTGAAATTCTATATTATATCTGTTTAACATTGTTTTGCAGGGTCAAGCTGAAACAGTAAGGAGGAACCGTAATGCGCCCCGCAGTTACGAGCATCACGGGGGCTCCAGGTCCTTCAGCCAGCATTATCATCAATTGGCGCTTGAGGTATATAATATATTAGCTCTTAGGTTATCAATTTAAGTATAATTTATGTGTTATGAGTTAATGATATATTTGAATAAAATAGGGAAGGGGAGATCTCGGGCATTTTGCAGATTGTATTCTGACTTCATGGAGCCCAAAATACGCCGATGAAGAGAAGAAAGCGCCAATACGGGATCTGGCTGTAAGTAGCAGTTCATTTGTATATTTAATTTTTATAACAATGCATTTTAAATGTGTTAGAATTGACCGGGTTGTTTTGGTATATCGCAGGAGAAATTACATGCTAAGGTGCATGATCAATTATCACAGACTCAGGTCGATTCTAACACTCCGACCCGATTAAGTAGAGAGGAGGAGGATAGCATCATCGAGACGGTCATTGGACTGAGTAGGAAGAACAGATACCGGTGGAGAGGATCCGAGCATCGGCCGTACGAGTCCAGTAGCACCTACGAGTCTGCAGCACAACCAGGATGTAGTTCTTCTCAAGAACCGACTATGGAGCAGCGGATGAAAGCGATGGAAGATTGGCAGTCGCATCGAGAGTCAGAGCTACTCCAGATGGCGGAGGAAGAACGGAGGCGCCGGGAGCAGAGGGAGCTGGAATTCGCCCAGTTCATATCGACTCTGCCTTCTGATTCTCAGGAGGCATATAGGAGACGGTTTATGGCGGATCAGGTAATATATATATATTTTTGTTTTTTAATTAAATGAATTAAATATAAAATTCTTACTTAGTTATGAGTATGCCATGTGACTAAATGATATCACACACACACACACACACCGATGCACACTGATACAAACTGTTACACACAAACTATATCTCTCTCCAAACACAAAACCAAAATTATATACTTAATGTTTTTATGTGATGGTGGTGTTGATGGTGCGTGCGTGCGTAGCGATGGTTGTATTGGTTAGTGAGTTCGTGGTGGGGGAGGGGGAAGTGTGGGGATTGGGTTGAGCTGGGTACTCGTGTGTGCGTGTGTGCGTGTTGGTGGAGATAGGTACACGTGCGTGCGTGTGTACGGGTGGGGTTAGGGTGTGTGCGTGCGTTGTTAAAAACATGTGCGTGCTTGCGTATAATACATAAAAATATGCCATGATACTCTCTCCGAATCATATAACATGTAAGAATATGCCATGATACTCTATTATTGATATACTTGCATGTCATGCCATGTTGTTTTATAATTTGTTACTTTACTACAAAATTCAGTTTTTGATGATGTACGTATTGCTCTATAACGTTTTATTTATATTTTTAGGCTGGGACTTCTCGACAAGGTGGAGTTAGTGATGAGGATGATGATGATCGAGACTGATTTTATTTCTTTTAACATTGAAAACAATGGGTGTGCTGTATAAATAACATTTATAATGTTGGGATATTTATTATGTTTTTAGTGAAATATGTGTCATATATGTATGAGAATGAAATATGTGTTATATGTGCTTGTGCTGTGTAAATTTATTGTACATGTTTTTATTGTGAAATATATTGTACAAGAATTTTTAAATTTAAAAAAAAATTTAAAAAAAATTTCTGCTTACATTTAGCGACAGATTTTCCGTCGCTAAAAGGACTTATGGCGACGAAAAACTGACACGGCAGACATGAACTGATACAAGCTTTTGGCGACAGGTTTTTCGTCGCCAAAATATATAGCGACGGCCAAAATATATAGCGACGGAAACTACCGTCGCCAAAAAATCAGACATAAACGACAGATTTTCCGTCGCTATATATCTGTCGCTGATATTTAGCGATGGATTATCCGTCGCTAAATATGGATTTACCTACCCTAGTAATAGTGACGGAGTTTTAGCGACGGAATTACTATTTTTTCGTCGCTAAAACTATTAGCGACGGATTTTCGACTTTTGGCGACGGATTTGTCCATCGCCAATAGTCCACTATGCAGTATTTGTAAGACTCACAAAACTTTAAGATCCATTCCAGCAGACATCCTTTCAACTATGTATTTTTTTAGACCCATAGTCAAAGGATCAACCACATTCTCTGAAGACCGGACTTCAATCATAGAAATGACTCATTAGCAAATGAGTTCTTTCAAATAGCCATGCTTCAGATGAATGGTCTGCTTCTTTCCATTAAACATCGAGTTTGCTACTACAACACTCGCCGCCTAATTATCATAATAGATAGTAATTGCACCTTGCAATTCTGTCAATAGAAGGTCTCGGAGAAAACAACTAAGCCACTTAGCTTCATCTCCTACAGCACAGAGTGTGAAGAACTTAGATTCCATTGATGACTATGCAATCATAGTTTGCTTCTTAGACTTCCACGAGACGGCAACTCCACCCATGGTGAAGATAAACCCTCTAGTAAATCTGCACTCATCTAGTTCTGAACACCAGTTTGCATCTGAATAGCCTTTGATTACAGCCGGATATCCAGTGTAGAATAGGCCCAAACCTGCAGTTCCTTTCAAATATCTCATCAATCTCTAAACAACATTGTAGGGTGTAAAAATTGACTTCCTGATGAGGGGTCGTTTGTATTTATAAGATTGGCTTACTACATACTAATGGTTAATGTTTACAATAGAGGAGAAGGGAATGACCCTTCTTATTTAACTTGAGTTCTTCTGTAGCGATAGGACGCCTCTCTCGGTGCTCGTTCTAAGTTTGCTTCCCTTGGACGATACAATCGAAGTTGTGGTTGAGCTTCAGTACGTAGTACAAGCTTCGGTGTGGTTGAGTTCGACTACCCGAGCTTGAGAAATATCAAGGCTGAAAGCTTAGAGAGGGCTAAAGAGCCAATGAGCCTCAAATCTGAGAGTTCAGATCGAGTTTATCTTAATAATCTAAGCTTGCAGCCAAGAATGTTCTACCAGCTGATAGAAGCCTTTGCTTGGAGACCCGACTGCTTAGAGAGAGCTGCTATGTAAGAGTTTTTAAAGAGATTGAGAGTCTTAAGTTTGAGAATTCAGATGAGTCTCCTTCAACAAAGGGAGCCTTTAGCAAAATGAGCCAAGGTTCAACCTTCGGAAGTGGGATGATTAGCCAACCAAAACTAGGCAACCAATCAACCCCTTTCATGTTGGCTGAAAGTGGTTTTAAATATAAAAGGGATGACATGGGTTATCCCTTGATTTGTGGGATTTGACCACTAGTAGGGGTGAGGGAGCCAACCGCCCTAGTTGTGGGATGTGACAACCTAGGGGGCCTAACAGCTGCCCTAGCTATAGGATGTGACCACCTAGAGGACCTAACAACCACCCTAGCTATGGGATGTGACCACCTAGAGGGTCTTGTTAGCCGCCCCCTTCTTATAATTGTTAATTACTAGCCAATTCCTTGATTTGTGAAATATGGCCATGCTTGGGTGAGGAACATCATGCTCTCCCCCTTGAAACGTGGGATATGACCACTGATGTGACTGTTCCTATACTCAAAGTAGGAAGTTGATAGCACTAGCGGGTCGGCCAAATAGGCGGGTTCGAGTCGACTTGTGCTGGCGAGTCATCCAAATAGGCGGGTCCGACCCATGCTGGTGAGTTTTTAGCTGTCGGACAAGCTTGGCCTCAAGGTGAGCTCGAGCCATGCAAGTGAGCTTAGCCTTCAGGCGAGCACAAGCCTACAAGCGAGCTTTTAGCTCAAGCGGGCAGGCTCAACAACCAGGCAAGGTTAGGTTCATGTTGGACAACTCAAGTGGACACTAACTTGTGCTAGCAAATTGGATGGGTTCGCTTTGCTTCGGGTCGACTTAGACTACCCTCCGTGTCAACACGGGGGTGTTGTCTTGTGGGGCGGACTGACACCGCGCTTCGAGTCAACACGAAGGGTCTTGACCATTTGGTCTTTGAAGTGAAGGGGCTCTTGACGAGTCGACTCTGGGAAGAGGAGTCGACTAAGGCTCGAAACGGTCTCAGCTCGAGGACTCTGGGCCTCAAACCTCAAGTCAACTAAGGCTGCCCTTCAAGTCAACAAAACGGTCTCGTCTCAGGATCTTGGGGTCTCAGACATCGAGTCGACTAAGGCCACCCTTTGAGTCGACAAAGGGGGCTCGGCTCGGGATCTCCGAGTCTCGGACCTTGAGTCGACTAAGGACGCCCTTCGAGTCGACAAAGTGGTCTCGGCTCGGGGTCTCTTGATTCTCGAATCGAATAAGGTCGCCGTTCAAGTCAACACCAGAGGTTTCAGCTCGAGGTCTCGTCTCGAAGTCTTCAAGCTGAGGGCGAGTCGTCATAGGGGGTTTCAACCACTTGGGGTGTCATCCTGAGGTCGGTGAAGGTTTCAACTTTGAGGGTATTACTGGGCCACCTTCGAGTTGACGAGGGGTTTTCGGACACTTCGGTCTTCAAAGGGCGAACTAACATTGCCTTCAAGTCGACGAGGGGTCTCGGCCATATTCGAGTCGGCTTCAAGAGGACTGAGTCGGCTAGACCTTAAGGGAGTTAACTGGAATATAGATTGAGTCGGCTGGACCCTAGGGGAGTTGGCCTGCCTTACCATAGATTGACCTTTGAGCTCTTTTGCCTGTTCTAAGTTGCTGTGCAGGGATAAAGGCAATTTTTATTACCTACAAGATCCCCTCAAAATTTTTAGACCTAAATCAGGTCACATGGGGTCTAGAATACTTTGGGTATGAAGACCTGTAAAATGATCATCGTGTAGACGAAGTGAGGCGCCTTCCAATCGAACTCGGTGAGATTGAATTATTCAGTCACTGCTAACGGTCACTAAATAGGATTTTTAGTAAACCCTCAGCTATCAATAGATTTGATTTGCCTTTACCGATTACCGTTTGAATCGGGCTAGCCATACTATTCCCATTAGTATGATGAGTTATCGAGAAGTTTCTCTTAGGCTTAATGCTAAGATTTCTTCTATTCTGAAATGATTGGTCACTTGCTGGAGGTGTCAGGTTGGGTTAATTACAACTGTTAAGTCATAATTAGGTTGTGTCGTGTTGTAAAATATAACGACTTAGCCCGAAATGATTGGTCACTTGCTGGAGTGGCCGGGATAAAGTGTCAACAGGGCACATCGCTTGGTAGGCCGATATCGATGAACAATGTTATTTGTAGGAATGATGATGTTGGGAGAATCAAATCATTCAGGGACGTATGAGTGTGACGATTGATTAATATAGTAGCCATCGCATGGTAGGCTACTACCTATTGATTATTCTAAAAATGTTAGAATGCTCAGAAAAGGACCAGGTCATTCAGGGACGTATGAGTATGATGACTGATCAGATAATGTTATTTACAGGAATGACGGTGTTGGCTATTAGAGGTAATCGTTAACGTGATAGGAATTATCACGATCGGAGCAACTTTGTGGACCTACCACTCTATTGAAGAGAGTTGGCAAGTAGATTCTTGTCAGAGGTATGATGTTAACATGACAGGAATTTGTCACAATCGCAGTGACTTTGAGGACCTACCATCCTACTGAAGAGGATTGGTAAGTGAAGTTTGTCAGGTAATTGTTAACGTGACAAGATTATCACGATCAGAGCTACTTTGAGGACCTACCATCCTATTGAAGAGGATCAGTAAGTGACTTTTGTCAGAGGTGTAGTGTTAACGTGATAGGATTGTCATGATTGGAGCGACTTTAAGGATTTATCATCCTATTGAAGAGGATTAGTAAGTGGATCAAAGGTGATTGTTAACATAACAGTAGGAGTGGGTCCGTCATCCTATTGAAGAGGATCAACGGGGGAAATTTGGAGGTGACTATCAGAGATGATCGTTAACGTGATAATTTTAGGGACCCATCATCCTATTAGAGAGGACTGGAAAGGGAATCTGGCTTTAGCCTTAACTGTAGGAGGTTTGACCAAGTCGGAGTTTGGGATGATCTTAACTGTTTAAAAGTTTGTTCGCTCAATTTGGAGGAACTATTGTTCGTGGAATGAATCGAGAGATGATTTTAGCTCTGGTTCTAACTGTAGGAAGGTTTGACCGAATGGAAGATGTAAGGAGCAATTTAACCTCATGCACCAGTGGGAGGTTCTTAATCATTTTTATCATGATTAAGAGTGGATTATTCTAGTGGTTGGTTTTTATCTGGAACAACTAGCTTATTCCGGGTTATCCTTAAGAATATCATGTGTAGTTTTCTCTAGAAACTTCCCATCAAAGGTAGGGAACAGTTTATATTAGTATACCAATTAGAGTATAGGAGGAGCAGTTTATACTCGTTTACTTATCAGAGTGTAGGAGTAGTAGTTTATACTCGTATACTTATCGAAGTGTATGAGGAGTAGTTTATACTCGAATACTTGTCAGAGTATAGGAGGAGCAGTTTATACTCGTATACTTATTGGAGTGTATGAAGAAGTAGTTTATACTCATGTACTCGTCGAAGTGT